TAAGTAATTAAGTTTATAATTATTTTATTATTATACTTGTTATTATTATAATTTATTAATTTAATTATTATACTTGTTATTATAATTTATTATTTTTTATACTTGTTATTACTTATTAATATTACTTCTTATTATTATAATTTATAATTTAGTTTATTATTATACTTGTTATTACTTATTAATATTACAATTTATTTATTTAATTATTATACTTGTTATTATAATTTATTGTTTTATTATTATACTTGTTATTACTTCTTATTATTATAATTTATATTTATTATAGTTATAATTATTTTTTTTAATAGTTATAATTTATTATAATTTATATTTATTATAGTTATAATTATAGTTATAATTTATTATACTTTTTATTTATTATAGTTAATTAGTTATTAACTTATTTTGTTTGTATAACTTTTTATTTTCTTAACGGCGAAGATGAAAATTTCAAATCTTAACGGCTAAAAAAAAGGAGTAAATTGGACTTTGATTCTTTGAATGTGATTAATGCATACTTCATATTATTATTACTTGAAATATTACAAATAAATACATACTTCTTAACGTTGGAAGATATAAATTTCAAAAAAATAAAAAAAAACTCAAGTATAAATGTTTGATATTAATCTAATTAGTAATAATTATAAAATCGTACAATGATAATGATTTCGTAAAAGGATATTCTACAAAAATTGTCTATAATTAAAAGTATGTAATCTAATTATATTTCTTCATCTATTCTTCTTCATCTTCTTCTTCTTCTTCGTCTTCGCGTTCAAGGTCATCGGGTAGTTGAATAGATTGGGAACTAGCCGAACCCGAACAGTCGGAAGCGGAGGTTCCGTCATCGTTTTCGTTGTCGGTGTAAGTACGGTCTTATGAGAAACTTTTAGCATCCAACCAATCTTTGAAACACACGCACATTTCAAGCGTTTCAGGTTTTAGATTTGTTCTTTTATCGTCTTAAACCCTCCCGGATGCGCTGAAAGCTCGTTCGGAGTCAAGAGAGGAGACTTGGATACCAAGAATGTCTCGTGCCATTGCCACCAAAGTTAGATGCTACGAGCTTTGTTGTTTCCACCATACAAGGAGGTCGAGGCTGTTTATCTCATCTTTGTCCATGCCCTTGGTGAAGTCATAACTCAGGTACATTTGCAACTCCGAGACATCGATTTGCGTTCTCCTTATTGATGAATCACCTGAAAACCTTGAAATCATGTTAGTAGCTTGTGAAAATAAATGTTTGGCCTTTTTACTTACGTTATTGAGTGGTTGGGAAGGGCCAGAGCGAGGAACAGTGCCATATTTGGTTTCATAAACTTTATATAAAGCAAAAAATTGATCCTTCACATTACTCTTATAGGTTTCTACACAATCTTCATAAAGAATGCATTGAAAATAAATGTCAACTTACATAAATGTATTTTCATACTTTTGCCTAGGATCTAATATGGAAGCAAAAATATAAATTAAAGGAATTTCAGTATAATATTTACGCCACTTTTTTTCCATTTCTGGAAGATATTGATCATAATCACTATGGAATCGATGATCAGAGAAAAGTTGGGCGAGTAAACATGCATTTGAAAGAAAGTTATGAGCACAAGGATTATAAATAGAAGAAAAATAAAATGTCATGTTATATAATAATTGTAAAAATTGCATATATCTTTCACATTTCGCCCAATCCTCCTCATATAAAGCATTTTGTGGAAATTTTTTTTTTGTAAAAAATTGTTAAAGGATTCTTATATTCAATTGCCTTGTTTAACATTTTGTACGTGGAGTTCCACCTAGTTGGACAATCGGTTTTGATTTTTATTGGTCTTATCTTTTGTTGTTTTAGAAAACCTTTCCATTCTTGATATCTCATGTTAGAGCTATTAATATACATAGTAGCTTCTCTAATTTTGTTATAGTATGAACCAATTGTTTTAATTCCATCTTGTACACATAAGTTAAGAACATGGCAAACACATCTAGTATGAAGTGCGTCACCATCTAATATTATATCAGTTAAATTTTGTTTCACTAAATTAGCAGTATATGTCATTGAGGTTGCATTGTCAAATGTCATAGACATGATTTTTTCTCTAAGGTTGTGTTCATTTATAGCTTCCATTAAATGGTGAGCAATGTTAATACCGGTGTGGGGGTATTCTAGCATTTTGAAATGGATTATTCGTTTTTGTAACAACCATTGATCATCTACCCAATGGCAAGTCACACATAAATAGTGATATTTATAACCACTATCCCAAGAATCGGCAGTCAAAGACACTCTACAATTAAGTTTACTCAATTCGTCTTATAACCGCATTTTGTACTCTAGGAAGTTTTTCATGGCGGCGGAACGAACGGTTTTCCTAGAGATTCTTTTATGTTGGAGTTGTAATGCTTTATTAATATAAGTGTTAAATGGGTCACTTTCAGAGAAAAGAAAAGGTTGTTCGGCGTGTAATATCATTTTCCCTAGTTCATCCCTATCCCTCTCATAGTTGTAGGTAAAGCCGTGTGGATGGAATTGGAAATTTTTGGCTGGGTTGGATTACTAGATGGTTGGGCACATGTTTTAACGTGTCTACTTAAGTGTCCCGTCCCAGCCTTGGATGTGGCCGAGAATATTTCAGCACATGTTTTACTTTTTGCTCTTGTTTGTTCTTTATTATTTATCTCCATACATCACTTTTGCGGCTTTTAATATTTACCTTGTCTTGTTCGGTTAACCATTGCTCTTGTGTGTTTGGGATTTGGGTGTTTGTAGATTTGGGGGGTTTATTGTTGAGTAATAGACTCAGAGGCAAATGGGCTATCTTCTTCGTTACCTTGGCTAGTATAAAAATTTTGTGGGTCAAAGAAATTAGGTGGGAATTGACTGAATTGTGGAAATTGGTTTTGTGGTGGAAATTAGTTTTGTGGAAATTGGGTTTGTGGAAATTGTGGAAATCCGAGCATATTCATGTTAAAGGTTTGAAAACCGGAACTACCACCATGCCTAAATAGGTCAAAACCTAGCGGGCGGTTCGGGGGTCATTGGTTGGAATGGTCGGACTCAGAATTGGGGGGGTCATTAGATTAGGTGATTCCTTAAAACTATTACCACAGACAAATTGGGCTTTCTTAGAGGAGTTAGAGGATAATGGGTTGTTGTTTGGTGATGCCATAATTAACAAATTAACAATTTTAATAATAACAATAATAATAATTAATAACAACAATTATGACAATAACAATAACAATAACAATAATTAATAACAACAATTATAACAATAACAATAATAATAATTAATAACAACAATTATAACAATAATTATAACAATAATAATAAGTAATAACAACAATAAAAAAGATTAGTTAGATCTTACAACTGTGCTTCAACGCTTTCCACTAATTACGATTACGAATTTTTAATTTTTTCGATATTAAATTAATAATAAATAATAGTTAGAGGTATATAAGAAATTAAGAAAGAGTTGAGTTGTGATTTGGAATTGGAATTGTGGGAAATGGGGTACTTATAGTCATTTTGGCCAAAATAGCCGTTGGAGGGAATTGGGAAGAAAACGGCTAGTATAGCCGTTGGGAAAAGCTGGGAAACAGTCATATTTTCCCGGGCCGCCACGCGGGCCACGTCGTGCCTAATAGCGGACCAACACGGCGGGCTCGTGCCAGGCCGTGCCATTTTTTTGTTACCTTGCACGCGGCACGACCCTTGGCACGTCGAGCGACGACCGTGCTAAGCCGTGCCTGGTGGCGGGCCATGCCGTTCCGGGCCACCCGCAGGCTGGCACGGCCCGTGCCCAGCTTTAAACCTAGGTGCTCTAATTTCTGATCAGGCTTAGTCTAATTGAGCTTTAGTCAATTTCTTTTGGGTCAAGTTAGTCTGTTTTATGTGTTTAGGCTTCGATTAGTAGTCCATTGACATTCCTTACTCCAATCCAGCACAAAGATGGAATTATTTATCGTCATAGCACTTCTGGTCGGGACAGAGGACCAAAAGTAGATGTCTTCACCAGCCTCTGCCACGGTGCCACCACGACCAACCCGCTGCCAGCCCCGCCCAACCTCTTCCCTCCTAGTGCCGACCGCCGCCCATACCCCCCTTCCTCTCCCCTGGTGTCGGAGTGCCCCGACCACCCTCTCTTTCCCCTTCAATCACCACGAAATCCAGCAAAATACCCCAAATGCCAACCCTTAAATCTCAAACCCTAACCTTAACCTTCGATCTCCGGCAACGCCGATGGTAAAGGGAGGAGAGAGAGGGAAAAGGAAAAGGAGCGGAAGACTAGGGCGACGGTGAGTGAAGGTGCGGCTGGATGTTTTCGGCGGTCGAGGAGGTTATTTATGGGTTTTTAGAGGGAAGGAGGAGGTGTTACGGGAGGTTTTAGGGGGAAGGGAGGGTGGTTGGGGCAGCGTCGACACTAGGGGAGGGGAAGGGGGTCTAGACTGCGGCTGGCGGTCGGGGCAGAAGGGGTTTGGCAGGGCTGACAGCGAGCTGGCTGTAGTGGCACTGTGGCAGGGGGCTCTTGGTCGTTTTCGTTTTATTTTTATTTTTTAAGTCAATCATACGCTGACACGTGTTTTATAACCTGTGATATTTGGTTGGATTACCGATTGAGAGTGCTATTGGCGGACGGGGTATAAAATTCGGATTAATAAAAAATAATCCAATTGTGATTAACATTGGCGGATGAGGCAAGGTTTGGATTAATCATGACAATTTTTCCTTTTTATTTTTGTCTTTTTGTTTATACTTGTCAGCTTTTAACTACCCAAGGTATCTATCATGACTTCCTCCCAAAAAAAAAAAAAAAAGGTATCTATCAAAATTGGGAAGTTGGCAAAAATAATGTTACAAGAAGCATAGTTATAATCGTCGTGCTCTTAACTAAGAGCCAAATACTTCTTAGTGATTACCGACAACGTCCTATAAACGTAAATAAAAAAATCCTTCCTCAGTCTTCTAACACGTATTTCGCAGTCAACAAACAGCTTGAAATGCAAAACATATGCTGGAATTTATTTCGTACAATAATAATCAATAGTAGTATGATTAGTATCAATCAATGTAACCCACAATTCAGCCAATCACCAAGATTTTGATTCAAACTAAGTTATTAACTTACAATAATGCGACATTATTACTACATAAATATTACTACTAGTCTACCACTAATAACAACATTACAGATAATTTAACAAATTTAACCCCATAATTTTTACATTTCATAGTTGAACTTTCCACAACCAATTAGTAAATATGCAGTGCGACAACTAAACCCGACAAAAGTACTAAACCATGATCACATCTCACAAGCACAGATTTGGGAGTTCGAATTATTGATAAAATCAGCCACCCTTTTAAGCAGATCTTTAGCTTCATCACAATCAGGCTTATACAGATGAAAAACATGACCTCTTCCTTTACTTTCCATAAACTCTAATTCACCTTTCCATTCACCATTTTCTTGACCTTCCCTTAAAACTTCATAGTATTTCACTCCTCTATCTCTTAAGAAATCTTTCCCACCGACACAAACCAACACCTTCTTACACCCAACAATCTCTCTCCTCATTTTCTCCGGGTCAGCCGCCGGGTTCAACCTCGGGTCTAAAACCCCGGTCGTATCCGGGTACAGATAATCCCATAGCCCATTGGGCTCACTGTCTCCGAAGAATGGATGGACCATTGCGATCCCTGCAAAATAAGACTCAGACCCAGACCCAAACCCAGACCCATCGGACTCGGATTGAATCCGAGTGACAATGTCATGGACAATGTTAGCTCCAGCACTGTCCCCAGCAAGAAAGACCTGATCAAAATCAGCCCGGTCATTGAGCCACGGCTCGGGCCCTGACCCGGTTGAATGAGACAACACCCACTTTGTCGCGGCCAAGGAATCGTCATAGCAAGCGGGCATCGGGTGTTCCGGAGCGAGACGGTAATCGACTGAGATGGCGATACAGCGAGCCTGTGAAACGAGGGAGTTGAGGTAGCTATGGTAGATTGAAGACGAAGCAGAGTAGAGGCAAAAGGCGCCGCCATGGATGTAAATAAGGATGGGAAGATTAGCGTTTGGAGGGTCAACTTTGACGGGTCGGAAAATACGGGCTGATAAACCCGGTGAGATGGTTATGTCTTTGGAATTGACTAAGGTGGCTGAATCAAATGATGGTGGAACAGTGTCGGTTTTGAGAAGACGTTCGATTCGGCCATCTTTGTAGACTCGAAGACGAGGGGAGAAATCATGGAGGATTTCTGATGACATTTGGACTTCCATTTTTGTTTGTTTTTCTTCTTTGGTATTTTGGTTTTTTTGTTTGGAGGTTAGAAAATGTAATGGTGAGAAACGGAAGGGGTGGGGAAAGAGGGGAATATTAAGTGGCGGTTGGGTTGTAGCGTTGGGAGTTGGGGAAAGTAGGGGTGTGTATTTATGTAGAAAATTGGAAGGTTCTATTTGTTAATTAACAATAAAACTAGTTTTGTGGCTATCACAAATTGAGAACATGATTTGTGGTATTTAAAAATTGGGATAGTGATCTTTGGTAAATGTAATCCTTAGGGTTGTGTATACAGAGTTAAAAATGAAAAAAAAAAATTAAAATAATAATAATTACACTAATTTATACGTGATTTTATCATGTATTTATAACTAACACCAAATTAGAATACATATTAAACGTTTATTTGGTAGTTCTTAGGGCTACCTATATCATTACGCTTAGAATTGCATCAAACATTGTTCGATTTCAAAATTTAATAGATTGAAAAACCTTCTCGTGGAAGGATGTATCAAATAGCGACGTGAAATAGGGTATACATCAATGTCAAATCGCATCTACAACGATCGTAATTCTAACCAATTAGAACATTATTTGATCCAATTTATATTGTATTTGTTGGTTTTAATATATGTTGTATCTGTTGTATGATTCTTCTATCAATGAATTATGTTTATTTTCTAAAAAAATGTACGTAGACTTGGTGAAACTGGCCTTAAATCAAAATTACAATTCAAAATACTCCAATTGAACCTAATATGGACCAAATTAATGTCTGGAAACTAAACTAGCTAGAAATTTAAAATGAATGAACCAAATCAAATTGAAATCACACCTGACCAAAGTTGAGTCAACTCGCTTTTAATCTTATACTTTAAGTAACCCGACCCGAGTTGGACCAGAAAATAATTAATTTGAAAAGATTTGGATCTCAAAATGACTCGAATAAAAATTACCTGATACGGAGTACCCTAAATTACCTAAAACAAAATTATTTTTTGTTGAAATGATTTGAACTAATTTCAATCCGGTAATTAATCAGTAAAGACATTAATAAAAATGAACCTTACTTGTTTTAACTCAATTTTTTCGTGACTTTTTATTTTGTAGTATGTAAGTAACACTGCATATTTTAAGTATTCCTTTTCGTTAATATTGAATCATTAACCAGGTGTAAGCACAAAACTACACAATTATTAATTCTAAATTCAAAATTAATACTCGATTGTTCAAAGGTTGACTCGACCCGAAATAATACAATTCAAACTAACTAAAAGTCGCGGTCACTAACTCGACTTGCCCCAAAATAAGGTGATCAGTTGTTAATCAGAATTCTACACTAGAATCCTAACCCAGCCTGAAATTATCTAATTTGACCCAAAGTCTAAACTCTCAACTTGAAATCCAATCCAAACCAATCATTTATTAGCATGAACATATCCAAAATCCAAGTTGAATTAACCCGACACAAAGGCATAATGGACTAAAACTGACCCAACCTAAAATGACCCAACCCAAACCTGATTATAATGACCTGGTTCCTAGGCTTATGCATAATTTAAATATCCAAAGATAAATGAATTAAGAAAATGACGATAGTGTAGGCGTCATACGAAGCGTGCCTAAAGATCGTAGGAGAATAACCTTGATTTGATTAAGTACTCATACAACAATATTTACTATGCAAGTATTGGCATGGCACCTTTCAAGACTTTGTATGGACGCAAATGTCGTAGCCATTTGTGTAGGTCTGACATATAAAGGTGAAACTGTTGTTCTTAGCTTGGTCCTAAAAATGATCAACCAAGAAATGGTTGACAAAGTTCGAATTATTCAAGGAAAGATCAAAGCTGCTTAAGATTGACAAAAGAGTTACCCCGTATTTTAGAGTATTCATACATTATACAATATTAAAGTACATATTTTATTAATTAAAAGACGAGTACTAAGTATTTATACAAGTATTTTAAACAAGTATTTTATTATAAATATCTTAAGTACATTCATTAAATTATTTTAAAGCAAGTATTTGAATTTATTTTATTACATAAATTTTATTATTTAAGAATATTTTAGGATATAACAATAAATATTATGATCACCCAAAATTAAGAGAATAAGATGATCATCTTTTTTAGTGAATATTTTAGAAAGAATTTAAAAGTCAAGGAATTGTTTTATGCTAGAATATCTTTTCAAATTTTCGATTATTCTTGCAAAATCCTTGCCTTAATTCTATTTTCATGTTATGTAAACTAAACAAGCTTGGAGAGCAAGCCAAGGGATTTTTAAGGCAACCATGACTAAATGAAGAGCTATTAAAACCCCTTTAGTCATGAAATTTCAAACTTTGTTGAATTTCAAAATCAAATAAGAATTTTATTAATTGTAAGCTTTGTGAAAAAAAAAAATAAATAAATAAAATAAAAGAGAAGAAGGAGAGGGAAGGCAGCTTCCCACCCTCCCGATGACCGACGACCACCGCAACTCGGTAGCCAGCACAGGCGCTTGCCGATCGGCCACAAGGCCACAGTGGTGCAGCCGCCGTTGTTGTTCGTCCTCGAAGGCTGTCGGCCGAATTCTACAATTTTAAACAATAAAATACTTTTTCTTCTTTTCTAAATTAATTTTCAGATTTTTGATTTATCTAATTTCAAGGTTTATGATGTCGATTTTCATATATACATAATACATTCATGTAAATTAGTTTATATATATCTATTATTGAATCTAAAGGGATTTTAAAGAGTATTGATGTAGAAATGAATTAAAAGGGTTTTAAAGCTTTATAAAATGGGATTTCAATTTATTTATAAAGCTGAAATTTTATTTTATATTATGTAGTTATTGATTAGAAGTTTTAATTATGGTTTATTTACGATTTTTAGGAGAGGAGTTTGTAGAAGACAAGTTCTAGTGCTTTGTGCTAGTTGTTTGATTAGCTAGGCAAGGTATGTATACACTACTATCGCTCTAGGTAGTATCATGTTTGGTAGATTTATTTTATCGCAATCACAAATCAGTACATTGAGCCATATTCTCTGCTTTTGATACAGAATCCAAGCTTGCCATTGTAGGGTTTATTAGAAGTTAATCTAGAAAATTCTAGATATGCAATAAAAATTGTAGTGTGTGGTCTAGATATATCTTGAATAGAGTAAAAAAAATCAAGTCATATTTTATCTAGAAATATGCTGTAAAATATCAAAAATATATTTGATGTAGAAATATCTAGATACATTTAATATTAGACGAGTGTAGGAAAATCTAGAGTATGGGAAACAACTACTATAAATATGGTGTATATACATGATGAGTTATTAAAAGGTCGGCTAAATAAGAGAGCTCCACAATGATTGACATAATTAAGGGTTCTATCAAGAGAGTGAGAGACATGAGTTCTCATAAAACATGTTTGTATAATTTATGTTATAAAACTACATGAATAAATCAATAAGTTGGAGCACTATAAAAACACTCCATAAATTATTGACTAAGAAACATAAAACTAAAGCTAAATCAAATTGAGGAAGAACTAACATACCTGTAAAATTAAAACTATTCTTTACATCAGATGAACGAATCAAACGAGCAATTAGAAGAATCTATCCAAACATCAATAAAAACAAAGATTGCAAAATTTTAATAAGAAATGCAAGAATGAAATATCAAATTCTAACATGAAATTAGATAAAATAAAGGAATTGAAGAACACGAAACCAGTACAATAAAATTTCCATTAGGAATCAATATGCAAAATCTGTTTGAAATAAACAATGCATAAAAGCGAAAAATAAATAGAATTTTAAATAGAAATTCAAGAATGCACAGAAATCATCAAACAAACATACGAGTAACAAATATAAAGTACAGTGAGTATGTTTAACCCCAGCAAGTTTGTGCTGCACCCAATTCAAATTCTGCCAAAAGAAGAACACACCCCATATACTCAACGCCGAATCCAATCCCAAATTTGCTCAAGCACTAGAGATAAAAGAAAGACAATTAAACCTCCAACCATTGAAATAGATCGTGCAATGGCATAATGAAACCAAGATTTAGCTGCCCTTGGTAAATCCGACCATACATTGATTGTTATAACTGATATAGTAAAATTGGAGTAAAATTGGAGTGTGTTGCTAGTGCTGGCGCCAAAGCCAGTACTTTTGCCAGAGCTGATTCGCCGACCATAGTAATTAATCACTGTAAACATGTTTGTAAAATCGGCTCTGTGAGAGAGAAAGAAGACAAAGAGGTGAGTCTGTAAACTGTAATATCCTATATTTTAAAGTATTTATATAGTATACAATATTATATTAAATTACATATTTTATTAATAATATAAATACAAGTAGTAAGTATATATATATAAGTATTTAATTAATAAATATATTAAGTATACTCATTAATTTATTTAAAGCAAGTATTTGAATTTATTTTTTTACATAGATTTTTTTTAATGTAAGAATATTCTAGGATATAACAATAAATAATATGATCACCCAAAATTAACAAAAATATTAAAGTCAAGGAACTAATTTATGCTAAAATTAGTTTTGTTCTTGGGCGATACCCAGATGGTTGATATAATTATAATATAACCTTTTTACTTGACTGTTAAATACGGTCAAATAATTCGTTTTGATAATGTAGGATATTTAGACATATGCTTTTTGTAATTTTGTTTGTAAATAAATATCTATGTTATTAATGACTTGAAATGGTTTTTATTGAACTTAAATTATTTTTATTGAACATAAAGTATTTTTTACAAAAACCAAAATTATTTTTACTAATTAAAACTTATTTTTACTGATTCTTTAAGGGGGTGTTTGGTTCGCAGAGTGTTATGGGTTTGGAATTAGGAATGAGGTTAAGGTGGTATCGGGTTGGAACTTGATACTTAATACCATGTGTTTGGTTCAATTCTGGAATGCAATCCCTCACTATTATCTCTTTTTATTTGATACCTAAGGGAATGGAATGGGCCAAACCCACCTCCCCCCCCCCCCCCCCCCACCCCCAAGGTTACTAAACCCCATACCTCATGGGTTTGAGATATGGGTTTAAAATTCAAACTTTTGACAACCAAACATATGGTATGGGTTTTAGTCATTTTAAACCCATA